TTTTTTTTCCGGTACCGGAAATCGAACTCATGACCTTGCACTTGCCAGGCAGGCGCTGTGCCACTGACCTAAATTCCCAGCCCCCCAAACACGTACTGTCATTGCAATCCAACAGTGTCAGGAGATGCTTCTGTGCCCTACATTATAGAAACAGGATTGTAAAAACTTTAATACATCAAGACAGGCATTCTGGAGTTACGCTCAAGAAAGCAGGTAACTTGGGCATCCAGTGTGAGTGCAGGAGGGTAAATCCTCCCTTAGATGAAGTGAATACTGAAAGTTTGGACCAACTAGCAATAGTGGAGGAAATAACAGAAGAGATGAGATGTTCTGGAGACTTCTCTTAATGATATGTTCCCTTTTGGGGCAGGTGCCAAAAAAGTAAAAATGTTTTCTTGAGTTGGAAAGTCGATCATAATACGTAGAATTGAGCTTTATTGTGTTTTTTGTTTGCTTATTATATTTGTATGAACTGAGTTCAAGCAACAGAATGACAGGTCAGTTGCAAAGAGTGAACTTGTACCAGAGGTTTGAAGGAAAAAGAAAGTAGTGAACTCCAAGAGCAGTCATGGCCAGGAAGAGTAGTGCAGGCCAGGAGAGTACTGAAACATGCAGGCGGTAAGGAGGCCCAGAACAAATCCATATGACAGCATTGCAGCGGGGCTCTTAGGCCAAGGGTGAGGACCGACGATCAGCTGGCACAGTTTAGTCAAAATATTCTGTGAGTCAGCTCATTGTGCTGTGGTCTCTGGCAGGAAATACAGACATTCAAGACGGGTGTCCAGTACAGGAAACCCATTATGGAGGATGGTTGTTATAAAGCAGAAATCTAGAGCCAGGAAAGCTTGGGAACGTGGAAGAGGACAGTGTTGGAGAACTAGAATTCAATGTGAAACTGAGCTCCATGTTGCACCCTGCCCTGTGTCAATATTGATATCTCAAATTGAGGCAAGCCTGAAGCAAAGGGGAGAGCAAAGTGACTGCAGCAGTTTGCATTGGTGGGACAGGGTTGGCCCAGCAAATACTGAGGAATTCCTTGAATAGTTGGGAAGTAAGGCAGGGGAACAATTAAATAATTATAGTTTTCCTACTCACAGTCTTGTGCAGCAAACCCTAGGCAATGCATTATTTACCCACCAAAAAGTTTTGTAGGTCAGGGTTTGGTAAACTTTCTTTATAGGACCAGATAGTAAATATTTTAGGATTTATGGGTCGGGTGGTTCCTGTTGCATTTTCTTAAATCTGCTAATATAACATGAAAGTAGCTGTAGGAAAATAGATATGTGAAAGGAGCATGTGTTGTGTTCCACTAATGCCTTATTTATGGAGACTGAAATTTGAATTTCATATTATTTTCACATACCACAAAATACTAGTTTAAAAAAATTTCAACGATTTAATAATTAAAAAGCCATTTTTAGATCATAACTATATAAGAACAGCGGCAGGCTGGATTTTGGCACACGCTGTCTTACTTGCTGGTCCTTGTTTTCGGAAATAAGTGACTTATCAGTTATGTTGCAGAAAGCTTAGCAGTACTGAAGTAGATGTTCTCTTGGACAATGCTGTTAGTGACACTGTCTTGTTTTATAGGTGACACTGATGATAAAAATCCATTCAAGAATTTAGATGTGACATCTGCAGCAGGTTCAAATCTCCCAGCTATAAGACAAACTGGATACTTCATAAGAATTGCCATCTATTATGCACAGAGAGCCAAAATCGGTTACTGAAATTGTCTGTGTGGTCTGCTTGCTGAGTCCAGTGATGCACTAGTAGACAAAGAAGTTGAAAGAGAAATCTGGCGTATTCTCTGGATGACTGGCAGAGTTTGACACCAACATGGCAGCAAGCCCTACTGTGATTCCAAGGACTTCATGACTAAATAAAAAGAAAAGTGAAAAAAAAATTGGTAATAATGCTTGGTGTGATTGAAGTAAATTTGATCTTACTTGGGAAATATGTACTACATTATCATTCTGTAATGATACATAGTAATTGCCTTGGTAATCGAACTTTAAACATTGTGGCTTTATTCATGAAATGTGTATACTTACACCCTTTAGAATTGGATTCTCTTACTCTAAGGGAACTGTAGGAAGAGTAACAGCTGTTTACTAAATAGGTGAATTTAAGGACTGCGAAGTTTTACTTGGGATTCTTGAAGTTACACTCTCGTGGAGTATTTAAAATATATTTTTATTTCCAAAAAGCCACCTGGAATTTTACAGGAAAACATCTTTTTGAGTAGATTCTTACATTTAATAGAAAATAATAGTAACATACTGCATAGAATTATTGTACATAGTTGAATTCATAAATTAGTATTTTCAGAACTGTTAACTAGTGTCAAGATAATTTAATAGGCAGTTATGATTTGGAAATAACCCTGTGTATTTTTATTAGCTATTGAATCATAAAATCATAACAGCAAAGTAATTTTTGAGCCAAATTGATACTTTATCTGGTTAAGAGTCCCTGCTTTTGGTATATGTGTATTTATATCAAAGCATTACTGGGAAATGAAGTAGTAAAGTAGAATCCCCAAAAGTTGAATCCCAGTTTTCCGTCAGTGAATTCTTAAGATTTTTCTTTCATCTTAGCATTTAACAAAAGCTCTGACAGTTTAGGATATAAAACATAGATTATATTTTATATAACTTGCATAGCTCATCTAGACACAGAAAAGATTCCCTCATGGCTTACCTTGAAATCTTTACTTAAAGCATATACCATTCACTTTGTCAGTATGCCCAGTTATGACTCCGTATTTTTGGTCAGAGAACAGCATAACTAACATAGCTATCCTAAAAGGATGCTGGTTAGTGGAAGTTAGACACATCTAATTTACAAGTCATTTTAGAGGTCAGAATCTTGACAACTCTATGTGTAATTTATTTTATGGTTTTTAAGCCTTTCTTTTTTTGAGTCAGCGCTTGTAACTGAAAGACAGGTATGTTACAGCGTTTTAGTACCTTAAACTCTTGAATCTGGAAGGAGAGGGATGCTTTTGTAGGTGCTTACATCCTAAAATTCTGAGAATTTGAATCACAATGCCATGTCATTTACTTATTACACATAATTGAATTACTGTGTGACTTGAGTTTGGGATTATTGTGATTAATGTTGGAAAAGTTTGCTATTTTCAAACATGTCACTTTTGGAAGGACAACAATTTGTGTGTATGTGTGTGTTTAAAGCAGCAAGCAGCTTTTTACCTTATGGACAGGATATTTTTAATAAGAGATGTGAATTTAACCTTCATGGTCCATTCAGATCAGTAAGTGTGTTGTGGCCTTTTGGAAGCTTTGTATGAGGCAAGGGACAGTAAGTAGATCACTATAGATTGCAGTTATTTTATTTTCCTTTTAAGGTAACTTCCAAAATATAATACGGAAGAGCACATAAATACAGCTTAATATTTTGTAGTTCTTAATGTGTCAATCCATATTGAGTTGAGAGCTATCTCATAAAAGTAGTTTATTGAAGAATGGGTAGTGCTTTTTAATTTGAGAACACAGTTGCAAAATGCATCTGTGTTACATCTTTGAGATGAGGCTGGAGCCCTTAGTTGATTTGTTGATTATAATCAGGAGAAGAAGAAAATTCACTTGTTTAAAACTAGCTTTGAGCTGAATGTGGTGGTGTACACTAGTAATCCCTGTTACTTAGACACTAAGGCAGGAAGATTGCAAGTTTGAGTACAGTCTGAGCAACTTGGCGAGACCCTGTCTCAAAGTAAAAAGTACTGGGCATGTGGCACAGTGCTCCAGGATCAGTACTCAGGTCTGAAAAAACAAAAACAAAACCAGTTTCGTATGAGCAGTCAGAAGATTATTTAGTTTTATCTTTTTCCGTTCTTTTGTGTGGTGCATTCTCATGAATAGCTTTTTGAGATGACAGAACGTTGGGATTTGGAGGATGTTGAGAATTGATAAGATACAGTACATTTTTTTTCTACCAGCTCTGTTTTAGAAAGGAGTTAGTTAGTTGTGATGTGTATAGGATATGAGAAAGGTCTTCAAGAAAGACTTGGAGAAAAATTAATGTAAGGTCAGGGTATAATATGTATTATCTTCATTTTAGTACAGCTGTGAATTTAGGTGGATCCCTCTCCAACCTTTCTCCCTAACTTCATAATCTTTGGTTAAAGCTTTTTTTGTTTTTTCAAGGAGAGCAGGAGATTACATTTTGGATGGAGAAAGTAAGGGTATTCTAGGTAGTGGGTAATTAGTGGAATGTAAGCAGGAGCTTGAGATCTAAATGTGACAGGTAATGAGATCAAAGGTAAAGCTTCTGTGTGTTTGGATTGCTAAGGATGCTAGAGAAAAGTTATCAGTGGAAGGGAATAGTAGGTTTATGATGGACTTTTATCGGAAGCCTCCTGTCAGACATTAAGATATTTTGCAAAAGTTATTTCTATTTCTGTTCACAACCTTGAAAACAGATGAGATGATGCCAGTTTCCTGATGAGAATACTAAAAGTTAAAGGGTACATCCAGTCTTTGAGTAAGATGTGAAATAGAGAATCTAACAGCTAATGGCTTGTTTTATGCTTACAGCTAGTTGTTTAATTTCTTTCTAGTGATTGATAAATGCAGAAATAACATAATCTGAAAGACCAACATATACTGTAGGAAAATACTAAAATTTAACAGCTTTTAACAGGAATGACTTCATGTTGTTATATAATAACTTGGACCCTCCTTGAAAAGCAGGTGTTGTGTCTGGACTCTAGAACTCAACTATCTACTAGGTTGCCTTTGATATTAATACAGTGTTATATACCAGTACTTCTAGGTGTGATGCCATAATAGAAAATCCATGTGTGAAAGGTGGAACAAAATTGAAGTACCATAGAAACCAATGCGTATCATAAGCTGAGTTGCATTAACTCCAAATAGAATGTTTAGAAAAAGTGCTTGAAAGATTTCTTTTTTGAAAAAGTAATGAAATTGATGGGTGTACCCCTTTGTGTTCAGTCTGTTTGGTCAGTTTCCTAGTTTAATAGGTTAATAGTTTAGAACAAAATAAATAAGGTACTGTGCTGAGCATTTATTGGAAAGTAGAGGTGGCTATGATTTGCTGTCCTCAGGAAACATCTTTAACATAAACAGCTAACGTTAATCCATGGCAGAATGACATAGGTGGTCCGCACCTATGTAGCAGTGCTGTGGCAGTGCTGTAGGCCCCTGGAAAGAATGGTGTATATCACTAGGGTTCAGCCGAGGCTGAGTGTGAGTTGGCTCTTGAAAGAAGAGAAGCATATTCAGAGGGAGAAGGCGGCATTTTTTTCTTATGTGAGTGATGAATTATGAATATAGTACGTATATAATTAGGAATGAATAGATGAATGGGAAGCAGTAATGCTCATTCACACTAGATGGGTAAAAAAATTTTACTTAGCAAAGTATTTGTAAGCATGCTCGCTCATGTTACAATTTCAGTAGAGGTTTTGTATCTCTACATGCCATTTGGTGATTTATTTGGTATCTTCCTTTGTGAGACACACTGTGTGTGCGTTATGTTGGAAATGTTACTCACTTTAAAATATGGTTGGTTACAAGCATCAAAACCAAATGTGTAAGTCTAATCACAAAGTCTATTACCTTTCTTGATTTAAAACAGTCAGATGTAGAGATGATTATGATTTTTACATATCCTAAGAAGCATTTGGCAGTGCAGTTAGTTTCATAACATGTGATTGTTTTTTAAAGTGTTCCAAAGTGAGAATGAGTATCTCGATGTTTACCTACAGGAATGTGTTCACATTATTATCTTAAATATGCACTTTAATATCTTAAATATATCTTAAATATATTAAATTAATATCTTAAATATATTAAATATATTTAATATCTTAAATATATCTTATCTATCCATATTACTGTACTTGAAATGTGAAAGTAAAAATAAAGGTGTAAAGTGCCCAGCTGACTTGTACAGATTTATGTAAATCAGAAAACACACAAAAAATCCATTAGTCTCGGTGCTGAGACTCTGATATATTAAATTCAAGAATGGAATATTTCAGCTGGGCCTAAGGGTACATGCCAGTATCCCAGCACTCAGGGAGGCCTCCTCGAGTGCTAGGATTATAGGTATGTACTACCATGCCCAGAAATGGTGTATTTTCCTGAGCAAAAGCTTTACATTTTGACTAAATTGAGTTTATCAGCACTTTTTTTGCGATCTGCACTCTCTGGCCGGCTTTTTTATGTCTAAGCAATCTTTGACTGACACCCATTTGTAAGACCTTTCTCTTCTGTGGTCTTCTAGACATTTTACAGTTTTGTCTCTTCACATAAAATCCATTTTGAGTTGATTTTTGTGTACAGTGTGGAGTAAGGATCCAGGTCTATTCTTTTTGATATTCAGTTCTATTTATTTATTTTTTTATTTAGACAGGATCTTATTACATAGTTCATGCTGGCCTTGAACTTCACATGTAGTGCAGGCTGGCCTTAAACTTGTAGCAATCTCCATGTGTCAGCATGCCAAGTGCTGGGGTTACAGGCATGTAGGCATGTGCTACCATGCTGGGCAAGCTTAATTGGTTGAAAAACTCTGAGTTGCATTGCAACGTTTGTTAAAAATATACTTACCTATGTATAACTTTCCCTAGACTGTAGTATATTGCATGGACATGGGTGTATGTGTGTGTGTGTATATATATATATATATATATATATATATATCATGACAACATCACATTGTTGCATAGTAAGTCTTGAAATCCCATGGTGCAAATGATTTAACTCCATATTTCTTTGGAATTGTTTTGACTACTCTGTGTCTTTCCATTTCTGTCAGTTATAGAAGTGGCTTGTTCGTTTATTCAGAATGCCTATGGGATTTTGGTTGCCATTGCATTGAATTCTATGACTCAGTTTGGGAAGCATTAATATCCAG